GCCAGAGCGCTGCTATCTCAACTTCCACCAGAACTGCACGAGACACTCAGGCTGGAAATGGTTTATGGATTATTGAGCACAAAAATTACACAACCTTATCATAGAGACGAATTCGATAATTTCTCCGAACTAACCGAAAAGGCTCGTGCAGTCGAGGCTAACTTTATGGAAGTGATCAGGGAGCCGAACAAACCTGCAAATGAAAGACCCCGCTGTGAGTTTTGCCATAATTTTGGACACATTCGTGCCGAATGTCGCAAAAACGCTGTCAAACATGCAGGCACTAATGTCGCACCGAAAATCGAAAGAACAGGAAATAAACCCACCACACCAACACCGCCAATCGAGACGAAAAACAAAATCACGTGTTATGGCTGTGGTAATCCAGGGTACGTCAAGTCCCAATGCCCAAACTGCCAATCCTCAACTGGAGTTAAATCAGTTTCTGTCGAACTGTTAGCTGCAGGTTGTGAATTGCGAGCACCCAGAGCCATGCTTCATGTAGGTAACCGTCCATGGTAAAGTCGGAGCTGCATTTATTGATACTGGCGCTAGATGTACAATCGCTGGAAACAAACTTGATAAATATTTCCTGTCCTGTGGTCTCAATGCCACCCCAAAGCAACTCAAGATGGCACTTGCTGATGGAAAGCAACATCACGTCTTAGCACTTGAGTACAAAACCAGTGTTTTGCTGTCTGAACGGCTGATACCAAGCACATTTCTTGCCATTCCCGAGCACCTGGATAACAGAACACTACTTGGTGTCGACTTTTTTACTGCTGCTGGAATCGCTATCGATCTTGCGCACATGAAGTACCATTTAATTGACGCGCCCCAACAGCAGTACAACATGTACCCAGAAGATGATTTCGAAGCTCATCGTATTTGCATTCAAAGCCTCAAAGTCTCTCTTCTTTCGCCATCACTATCCCGGATCGTTATATCTTGCCACGGATTGATGACCTTTTGCATTCTGCCAAGCGATCAAATTTCATGTCAACCATTGATTTAAGTATGGGTTACTGGCTCGTACCTGTCAAGCATGAAGACAGCGACAAAACGGGAATTATAACCCCCTTCGGCTTATATCATTTATAAGGATGCCATTCGGACTACGGAATGCTCCCGCGACCTTTCAAAGGTTCATGGATCGATTCCGCCGAGGTCTTGATGATATCATCCTTATGTCATATCTAGATGATCTTATTATTATTTCCGACACCTTCGAAAATCACTTGTCAGACTTGCGAAGGGTGCTGGCGCGTCTACTCGAATTCAAATTGGTAGCAAATCGGAAGAAATGCAATTTTGCATCCGGGCAGGTGAAATACCTAGGGCACGTGATCACTACCGATGGATTCTGCCCAGACCCCGACAAAATTAATGCGATCACTCTGATTCAGCCACCAACTACGGTCAAACAGTTATTGTCATTTCTGCAGCTTTGTAGCTGGCGGTTCAGACGCTTTTATCGAGAACTTTGCTGCGATAGCGCGACCATTGAGTATGTTAACACCATTGAGTTAGAAAACTAATGGAGGGAATCAAATGCTTGGCCAGACGTAGACCACGGGAACCAAAAGTGGCCTCTAACTGTGATTAAAGTACCACACCACTTCCGTTATCATTAGCGTTTCACTTCAGTGGCGTAGAGATATAATTTTCTTTCCACTAATAGGAATAATAACAAAAAAAAAACGTATAGAAGGAGTAAAATACATGCTCGTGGTAAAGTAAACAAAATAGACAAGGATGGGAAAGTATGCAGATTTAATATAATCATTGATTACAAATCTAAATATACATTGATGTGTTCCAGTAGTATAATTAAGGCCAGTTTACTATAACCACTACAACTTGACAACTCCCATTAAATTCACTGTGTTGATCAACAGCTACAATTGATTGGTTGGTCTCAGGTTCATTACAAGTTTTGATAGTACCTACCTACTGCATATTTGACGAGATCTTTGATGAACATTTTCCGGTGCAACCTTTGGTCGAAATCACAGTCAATGAAGCATTGTGAGCACAAAAGTAAATTTCGAGAGCTGTTCTTGAGATATATTTACAAATGTTAGGTAACCATTTTGCTCGAAGTACCGGTTCGTTTGGAAAACTAAGAAACATAAACTAGGTACCTACAACCTCGCATACAACATGATAAATGACATGTCTTACCGATGAAAGGAAATGCCATGTTTCTTCCCTTTATGAGAAATTTTGCATGATACGCAGCTAATCATTCTCAATTCACAAAATTGCGTGTGATAAAAACACTATGCGGCAGTTAGTTATTTATACAAACCAGAGCACAAACCGATCAGATATTATTAGGTACTTTAAAATGGCAAATTTAATAAAATTTGAATTTGGTGGAAAACTGACAGTGACAGGACCCGCGTTTTCATATGTCAAATAATGTCGGTCAAAATGTACCTTCACGGGAACCTATCCACGCGAGTGGCCTCTATCTGTGGCAACTTCCGTCTACAAAAATTCTTACCCCCTCCACCATTATATTCCCTCCATTCGTTTTCTAACTCAATGGTTAACACGAAAGTTAGCTCAGTTTACCTGGGAAGAAGCACAACAACTTGCGTTCAACGAGTTGAAATTCCGCCTTGTCATTGCACCAATCCTACAACAAGCTGATCTTACAAGGCCGTTTGTCCTTCGCACAGACGCTAGCGCTTACGCTCTGAGAGCTTGTTGGATGCAGGGGGAGAGCGACGAGAATGAACGACCGGTTGAATATGCGAGCAGAACGTTGATGCCAGCTGAGATGAACAGCACGACAGAGCGAGAGGCTCTTGCAATCTTCTACTCGATTCAAAAATTTAGAGGATATCTTGATGGACCCACCGTAGTTATCAAAACTGATCACCGACCATTGAAATGGTTGATGGGTTTGAAATCCCCAACCGGAAGATTGGCACGATGGGCGATGTTACTACAGGGATTCGATCTGAAGATTACATACATTCCTGGCAAAAGCAACATCGTCGCCGATGCCGAAGAAGTTGACCTGAAGCGCTGGACTACTCATGGGTATGCACTGTTCAATGGCATCCTGTACCGTTGCACCTCAGAGTCCGACACAGAAGAACCCCAGTTAGTAGTACCCAAATCACACATTCCTGAAATATTGCAAGAGTGCCATAACAACGCTATAGCTGGCTATTACGGTGTCGACAAGACACTGCACAGAATCAGTCGTCTGTACTATTGGTCCACAATGCGCCGAGATGTCGTACAACATGTCCGGAAATGTCCACAATGCCAAAAGTACAAACCCAGCAATTGGAGACCGGTCGGATTAATACAAACTCCACTGCTGTGTCAAAGATTTGAAACACTGGCCATGGACTTGGTTGGTCCGTTTCCAGAGGCGGAAGACAACTATAAATGGATCTATGCGATTGAAGATACTACCACGAAGTGGATAGAACTAATACCCTTACAGCAAGATACTGCAGAAGCTTGCGCGAAAGCATTAATTAACGAGATGATCCTTAGATATGGAACTCCTCGTAGAATAATTAGCGACAACGGTGTCCAATTTACCAGTGATGTAATGCAGCAGGTAGCTCATTGTCTCGGTTTCAAACAGGCTTTGATTCCTGTGTATCATCCTGCATCCAATCGGGAAGAACGCAGAAATCGGGATTTAAAAACCCAGCATTCCATTTTTGTAGGCACTCGCCATACTCATTGGAAAGAAGCTTTACCCACTGTGCGGTTCGCAATGAACTCCGAAAACCATCTCAATCTTGGATTTACGCCCGTGTACTTGATGTTTGGCCGAGAACTCCGAACTCCAGGTGAAGTCCAAAGGGATTTATGTCAAATCGTAAAAAACGAAAACTAATTCCCGAGATAACACCTCATCTAGAGCAGATGGCAAACATCCTCGAAATGACCCGAGAGCATTACGAAATGACTCAAGATCAAGTTAAGAAAACCGTTCCTTATACAAAGGATTAATTTATAACAATCAATTATTTATTACTCGCAAGTCACATTGTTTAATAGCATGGTTTAAGTACGTACCTACAATTACTTATTCAATGTTACTCTCCCCTATTTATTTTAGAGCAAAAGTCTAAATACGTTTTTTTGAGAAAAAAATACTGCATCTATCTATACTTATAATTTTCTTCAAAACCATACAAATTGACAAAATAAAAAAGTTTGTAATAACTGAATGGTAGATGCGATGCGCTTGTAGTTTGTTAAAAGGTTCCAAAGCATCACTAATTCTAATTTATAAAAATGTAATTTTTTATTTTGTCGATTTCTACACTTTTGAAAAACGGAAAATTTTAGGTACCTACCTAATAGAGTATGGACAGATGCAGGTTTTTCTCTAAAAAAACGTGTTTAGATTTTTGCTCTAAAATAATTAGGAGCTAGTAATTGATGAAGAAATTACCATTGCTGTGTCGCGCTAGGCACCACCCTGTATATAAAACAGCAATTGTTTTCGAATGTTCCCTAGCACACGCGGAGATTCTAGACGTTCTTAAATGAACTGTCATTCCTTGGAACGCTGCCGTCACATTCGCCTTTGCCGGTGACTAACGTTTCATGGTGTCTCTTTGTCTGGCTGGATTCTTAGAACATTCACTACAATATGGATGTCGACATTTACTCAATCTTCAACTCAGCAAGACGTGCACTGGAAGAGATGGGCATACCCCCTTGGCCCACCAGCCACCAGGACCATAGAAGTCTCCCTTACACTTTTTCTTCCAGGGACATGTGACGAAACTTATGTATGAAGAGAAAATTCGAGATCTTACCCATCCTCAGGTAACGGATACTGGCTTGTGCAACCATTATTTTACATATGAACTTCGTGTGCCATAAGTAACAATTATGTTTACAGTCTGAGAGACTAAACAAACATTTGTTTTTTTTTAAATAAACGCATATAAACTGAAAACAATTACTAATAAAATACAAATAAAAAAATAAATTACACTCTGAAAAACTAAACAAAAATTTGTATTTTTTTTAATAAACGCATATAAACTGAAAACAATACCTTTAATACTAATAAAATACAAATAAAACAATTTCATTAAACTAAATTAGCACTCTGGAATTAATAGCAAAGAAAATTAGTTCATTGTTCCTAAGCGAAAGCAAATACCATGCCGTTTCCAATCCCATAATCCATATGGATTTTGAATTGTTCATAGACTGTGTGTATCACAGGTAGTGATAGTATAAGTGCACATGTATTAGCCTTTGGATATCTACTTCGATCATCATGTAAGAATTCCAATGTTGGAGTACATTCAAAGCCAAGTGGGGGTACAGCATCAGCACCAGTGACAAAAGCCAAAATTTGCTTTAAACAGACTGTCGTTTCATTATCTGAAATTAAAAAATGAGACGTGTCAGTTGTTAAATGGGCCAGTTAAGTATCAATGGCTTATGTCCGGTTTTATAAATGCCCAGATTAAGGTTAATCAATCGTTAAAAATATGAGAATGTTAGCAACTTTTTATTATAAGGTTAAGATATTTCCCATTCTAATAATTTTTACCATTGATTAACCTTAATCATCGTTTCTAAAACTGGCCATTAAACATTAATGTTTTAACTTTACAGTATTAACAGCATGAAGTCAAAGTCATAGCCTTCTATTCAAACTTTTAGTTTTTTTCAGAAATGTTTGAACAATCTCAGTACATATGTTAAAATTTGACAATTTTAATTTAAATGACGGATTCAAAGTACTCATAACAAACTCCTTTAAAACAAGCAAATAGGTATCACTAAAAATAAAGTGTTTATTCAGTTCTGAAGTCACTATGAAAATGCCTAGCTCTATTACGATTGGTAATAAATAACTACTATGAAAAGATCAATACAATCAGAACCTAATAAACCTACCTTCACAATCAATTAAGTAATCCCTCCAAAATGCCAATAGTCTATTTTCAATAGCTCTTTTATTGGAGCCTACCTCATTTAATACCGGAACAAAAAATGTTTTTAAAAACTCTGCCGTAAGTGGAACTTCTTCAAAGCAGAATAACTTTTTTAGGTCGCTTGGCATCTCCTTACCTCTGTTGAGGAAATTTAAAATGTTTAAACCATCCTTCAACTGATCATAAGCTGCGCGTACACGATGGATCACATAAAATTTAACAGCATCTAAAAATAGAAAATTAAGAAAAGGTTCATAGATGTTCAAGTACACATACCTTTAATAATACTGTTCTTCTCTTCAAAACTTTTTACATGGAAAATGCCAGCTAAATGTAGAAAAGAACTATTTAATACACCCTGTCGCAATTCTTCTAAATTATTTGTGTTCTGAATATGTTCAATTTCTGTTTTTATACCTCTGTCATTTATATCGTCTAAGGTAGGTTCTGTTGCATCAATCCCTTGAGTTAGCATTGAAAATAGAGTTTTAGAAAAAAACTGTGGTCCAGGACCTCCATGTATGAGCGAAAGGACAATCAGTCTGCCAATATCAAAATAGTCTCTGGTTTTTAAGCATTCATTGCACAGCCTTAAATTTTTTGAATTTTCATAACCTTCAAACATTTTACAATTTTTAATTTCATTTAATAAAAGTCTAAACATTTCCCTTGACGGACCCCCCTGATCCACTGCCCCCTCACTGCAGTCTGCAATATCCGTAAAGATCACAGAGATGCGATGTAATGGTGAAAAACTTTTACGTCGCACTACTCTTAAACAACAATCAAGTATTTCTTCTCTATAGATGTTAAAAGTTAATAGATGTTCACTATCAATGTTATTTTTAAATTCTGTCAATATGTCCTTAAGACTTTCACATTTACTAATATTGATAGCCTTTATGGTGTCTTCTTCAAACTGGTCACTGAATATGTCGCTGGTGTCCAACGATAAAAATTCCACAGAATTATCTTTGTTGGCATCCTCTATTATTTCAACTTCAGGACAATCTCTAAATTCAAAAAGTTCATCTCCAACACCGTCATTGTCTTGTTCCACTTCAGCACCTTCTAACATTGATAAAGGACGTAAATAAATGGCTTTCTGCTTAAACATTTCACATACAGCTGTTCCGTCTAATGAACAATCAGTTGCTAAATTCGGTTTTACTAAGCATCTACTCATTGGGATCAACACTTCGAATTTTACTTCCTTTAATTTATCTTTAAATAAATCTTGTAAACAATGATACACTTCTACCTCTGTCCAGTTTTTTTTAAAATTCACAGCAGAGAATCCAAAACCTACAAAGATAATAAGAAAACCTGTTTTATAAAAGACATAATCAATACTACCTTTTTCATATGCTTGGGATTTACATAACCCCGTTAGTGTCGCCTTTGCCATGGGATTGTCTAATAAAATAACCTCTTTCTTAAAAGCTACACCGCTATCACTTTTTCTACTTTTACTTTTTCGTCTTCCTTCTGGAGTTTGTAAATTGGTATATGGCGTTCGATGAACACTAGGAAACAATCGCCGAACTTCATCTATAGCCGATGATGATACTTGGGGTTGTACATTTAACTGCGCTCTAGGGGTCAAAGGTGTCACATTTTGAAGTGCACTTTGCAAACTATTTTGCAGCTGTTGACAAAATGGAGCACTTGTAACAATTTCATTGATTATCCCTCTTAAATTACGGGCGTCAGTCATGGCTATCTACAAAAATTAATAAAATAGATACATGGCACCCTTAAATAGGTATAAGAACCTACCTACGAACTGCAAGAAATTAACCTACTGGGTAGTACTAGTGGCTTTATTAATATATTAAAAAGCTTGTAGGCAGGTGGTAGGTAGTATTTATAGTATTACTTTAACCGTACTTTGACAGTGACAGCTGACAACATAAAATGAAATGGGTGTGTCATATGATCACCGATGTACGTTGCCTTACGTCAATGTGCGCCACCATGCGGCCACTTGACGAACGCGACTTTATATTACGTTTTATTTAATTATATATATATGTTTCCTGCTTCCTTTTGTATATATATATATATGTATATATATATATTAATAAATAGATTTAATATAGCTATGAAAGAAATCTGTCCATATCTAACCAAATTTGATGCATATCTGCCTAAAAATGTTATACATCTGAATTATCTACATATATTTCGCAGGTTTTATTTTGACACAAATGGCGCCTCATACGCACACACGCACTTCATAATCTGGGCCCATAACCTGTGAGAATATTAGCAGAATGAGTTCAATGAAAGTTTTTAATCAGTCAACACGAAAATCAGTTTTAATACAAACTTACAATGACACATTTCTTGAATTAAATTATTGACATATCTTGTAATTTTTGAGCTAGTGACATTCCCTCATTTACATATGCCTCCATAGTTTTATATTCTTCTAACTTAATTCTTACTAACTGCCTGATCAAACTCAATCTCCTTGACAACCCCGTATCTTCATAAGCCTTTGATAAATTTTGCCAAGCTTCCTTGAATATATATACTAAATATTATATATATATATATATATATATATATATAATAAGGGAAGGATATATTTAAATACCAATATATTGTGAGTATTTAAGAAATATTTTATTTGAAATGGGTGCTCCGTGTCATGCGCAGTAAAATACGCGCCAAATTTTATCCACCAACCACTTATATGCTACCAACTACCAACATAACCTCATTTACAGCAGCGTGTTGCCGCATTGTTGTGTGTATAAAAAAGTTCAGTGGGTTTATTTACGATTGTGTGTTTTAAGCGGCGCGAGTAAGTGACGATTATTATTATTTATTATAACAGCTACGTTCGGTTTCGTGATCACGGAGTGGAGCAATATTTTTTCAGATTCGTCAGATTCATTTGCGAGTAAACGAACGCTCTGGAGCTTTACCACCATTTATTTTTTAAAAGGTTATGTTCACTTCGTTGTTTTGTAGATTGGGGGTATATGTGACAATGTTATTTGTTCGAGTTTTGAATCAGAAATATATTTCTGGTTTGAATTATAGTAAAAATTACCTATCTGCATATTTTAAAATGAATACTAAGAGGCGTTTACGATAATTGGAGCGGTTTATAACAAGTGGTACATTGCGGTAATCAGCTCTTATGCACCCGGTGGATGTATTGTAACCATGATTACCGAACCGAACCGAACTCGGTTCATTTTGCGTGAATCCGGGACAACCAAACATTTTTGCTAATTGTATCAGACTCCATGAGCGTGATAAAAGCGGTCAGCAACATAGATAACAAAGCGCCCATTGTAAAAACAATTCAGCAAAAACTTCATCAGCTGCAAGAAAGAGAAAAAATATAACTCTAATGTGGGTACCTTCACACGTTGGTATTCTCGGCAATGCAACAGTCGATACCCTGGCCAAACGAGCCCATCAAGATGGCATCAAAGTAGGTATTATAACGGGAACAGACTTCATCAGACACACAATATTTGAAACTTACCTTCAGCTAAATACCAAATGGAAAAATAATAACAAACTCCGAAGGATAAAACACGAATTCGTAGAATGGAGTACATCAAACCAACCAAATCGAAGGCATGAAATTGCAGTAATGAGGCTTCGTAGTGGTCATACCCAGTTAACACACTCCTACCTAATAAAAAAAGAACCCCCGCCACAGTGTGAACAGTGGAACGTCTTATTAACTGTAGAACATCTTTTACTTGAGTGCCAAACATTTCAACAGGAAAGAATAACATGTAGATTAAAGAACTCCATCCAGGAAATCCTCAACAATGACCATGCAACAGTCAACAATCTTATCAAATTTCTGTACATAACAAAATTAATTAATCGTATTTAAAATGTAACATATTATGTAATGGGCGATATGACCTAGCTGTTAAAGCCCGATGTCAAATAAAAAAAAAAAAATAAAAAAAAAAAAACATTTTTGTTAGAGCATTTGGAATAACGCAACACGATTACAAGTTGTATTTTTATTTCACTCGTGGTTTTATTTTATTATTCAATTGATTTTTATGTGGTAAAAATGAATCCAGGAGGGTGGTTGCAGCTAGTAGTGAATGAAAACAATGAAGTTATTTTTGATGATCATGGTAACATTTATGTGTACAATACAGCAAGTAAGTTCTACAGACATAAATAATTAAAATAATGTAATAACGTGTAACTTAGATAAAACAACTAGCTACATGGAAGATACGAACGAGAATAGAACATTGTTAAATATGCCACTAAACGAGGATGCAGTTTGTGTTAATGTTCAGCAATTCATAATTATTTAATACGCCCCTGTTGTATGTTAGATTTTAAGATTCATTTGCTACTAGATGGCGTTGTGATCCATCTATTCAATGTGGTGACTTGTAAAAAATGCATTGCACGGTGTGTATATTATTTTTACCTGTAAATTCATTGAAATAAACTTCGTTATTTCACCTGAGCCATTCTATAGGTTATGGGCCCAGCCGTGGCCTACGTTAGCTTCAGGCCACCGCAATACTCGCTACGTACGGTGTGACGTCACGATCGGAGTCCTGTCAAATAATGCAAGCGCTGCGTCTTATGTGCGAATTTCCAGTCTTATTTTGTTAGTTTTGTTTATTAGGTGAGTTAGTGTCGGTCACAGGTGAGTTCACTTTAGGAATAACCAATTATTTTAGCAATATGTAAAATATTTAGGACAGGAAAGGAAAACTTCAAAATGCAAAATTGCTCTTCTGGTACTTACACCACTGTTTTTCGTTTTCCAAAGGATCAAAATTTGTTACGGCAGTGGCTAAGAAACATTCATGGCGTAAATTTTCTGCCATCAAAAGATTCAGTGGTATGTATAGAACATTTTGCGGAAAGATTTGTTATCCGCGAAATGCTACAAGGGACGACGATCAATTACTTCATTGCATAGACAGAATCTTAAATTATCTCACGATGCAGTGCCAACAATTTTTAAAAATCAGCCTAAATATTTCACAACACGGCTTCCTCCAAAAAGGAAACAGCCGGAGGAAAGACTGGAAGAGCAAAAAGACGTGAATTATTAAAGCTGAAAGAACTAGAAGCCATTGACAGAATAGAACATTTTAAAGATTTTAAAGCAAAATTTAGAGAAAAATTAGATAACCACTCAGGAATTTCTATAATTGAGGAAACAAGCTATTTATTTTTGGCAAACTGAAAACTTTACATGGTATTCCTAAAGTGGTTTGCTCTCTTTCGATCGAATCCAATTTGTTGGTGAAAATATTTCTACATGACTGTCCAATTGTAATGAACGATGTTTTTATCGACAAAGGGTGTGTTCTTAAAAAGTGGTCGGACTTTGCTAGGTTGATATAATAGGTAATAGAAGATTTGAATGAAACATTTAAAACTAATGCAGTGACAAATATAAATTCAATAATAAAGTAACGTCAAGAAAGCTCTGAATTTTTGAATTAAAAGTGACTGTGATAAAATTAACGAGACTGTTAAGCAAAAACTAATATTTTTATATGTGCCTACATCAAATACATGTATGGATGGAGAAATGCAACACATGTATATTTTGAAATTAGGGTATTTTAGATCAGTCATCAGCTAGTTTGGAATCTGATACAGTTAACTACTTTCAACAAGACTTTGAGATATCGTGGAAAATGAGGTCGTGATATCATCTGACGAAAACGATGCATTATCTGAGAGTGAACATTCTGACGAAGACCAAGAAGTTACCACTGACGACCATCATGATCTACAGCACTGGGCAATTATGTACAACATTAGTCACTATTCTTTAAAAAGTCTCGTGGCCATTATGTGTACGAAGTACGGGATTAAATTGCCTACAGATCCTCGAACGTTACTGCGCACGGCCTGTGGCTTGAACAAGAGGCACATTACTAACATCAACGGAGGGCAATATTGGCATAATGGGATACAAGATTGCTTAAATACTAATTTTTAGTAAGATTTATTTCTTCAGTTAGAAACTAATAATGTCTTTATTTTCAGCAATATCAAAGAATCAAAGACAATTTCAATTAATGTCAACATTAATGGGATACCCTTATATAAGAGTTCCAAAACACAATTATGGCCTATTTTGTTTAACATAACCGAATTTCCAGATATCAAACCGATGTCAATTGGAATATTCTGTGGATCTTCTAAACCATTAGGATCGGTTAACGAGTTCCTACGGCCATTTATCAATGAGCTCGTACAAATACTAAACAACGGTATTTTAATTAATGGCCATATGATACATATTAAGGTAAGGTGCTTTATATGTGACTCTCCAGCTCGAGCATTTGTCAAAGGTATATTATTATAGGATGAAAACAGGCCTTATTTATTTTAATTGCAGGTGTTGCTTCATTTAATGCTAAGTGTATAGCCGAAGGCGAATACTCTTATGAAGGACGAACAGTAGTATTTTCATCAATAAATAGTGCAGCACGATCGGATGTTAAATTTAGAGCCAACGAATATGGAAAACACCACAAAGAAAAAACACCCTTATTAGACATTCCTAATTTTGATATGATTGAAGATTTTATTGTTGCAGATTCTCTGCATTTACTACATCTGGGAGTAATGAAAAATTTACTCATTGGTTGGAGAGATGGGAAACTTGGATATAGTACATAATGGCCAGCAAATACAATTGAACACTTAAATAGCAAATTAGCTATGATAAAATTACCAAGTGAAATGCATCGATCTGAACGTGAACTAGATTGCCTTGCCTATTGGAAGGCAGTTGAATTTGGGAATTTTTTAAATTATATAGGTATAGTGGTCCTTGGCGATGTTCTAGAAGAAAAATATTTTGATAATTTTTTACTATTGTTTTGTGCAGTTACAGTTGTTTCAAGTAATAAGTACCAGCAATTTTTAGAAGTTGCTGAACAAATGTTTACTACATTTATTACTCAGTTTATTGACTTGTATGGTGTGCAGTATGCTACTAGTAACATTCACAATCTTCAACATATTGTCCGTGAAGTCAAACGATTTGGTCCATTAAACACCTTATCTGCTTACCCCTTTGAAAATTGTTTATATCAAATTAAAAAAATGCTGCGTGGTTACCACAAACATTTAGAACAAGTTGTAAATCGGTTATCTGAGATATCCAAATGCAACTACATAGAAGAAACAGAGGAAAAAAATATCCTATAATCAAAAAATGGAAGAATAACATTGAAATTTCCATGGCAAACGGTTTTGTGTTAAAAAATAAATTTAAAGATTCATGGTTTTTTACAACAAGCAATGAAATAGTCCAATTTTTGGGAATTGTTGAAAAGGAAACACTAACTACTTTAAACGGACGAAGTCTAATTAGTAAAGGTTGTTTTTTTACAAAACCAATCCAATCTTCACATTTAAATATTTATATAGCAGATAATAAGGTGTAAATTTGTTGCAATAAGTAAAGAACCAAATAAAACTGTTTATATACCTTTACTTCACACTATAATGTAAAGATATTTATATTTCATCAAAGAATGCATCTTGTTAAAGCTGCTATTTTTTGGACTTATCCTAGTGTGTTTTAGCTACAAATAATAAAATACGATAATACTTACAAAGTTTTCTTTGTATTTGGGAATCTGTACATTTTCTTCCAGTGTGTTGAAAGACGCTTCATCGTCAATTGGTGCAAAAGTGAAGGTTGGCGGCTCTTGGGTAACACTTTTTACAGTATTTATGGACAACTTAAGCAGTTGGTCAATCTTTATTTCAAGCCCTGCATATATTTGGATTAATTGGTGATGGCGGTTTCTTGCATCATCATCAATTTTCTGTAAATGCTCCATTATTTCCGATACTTTATCTGTTTGGAATGCATCATCATTTTGGGATTGATTATTATTATTATTATTTTTTTTTTTTTAATAGGCATCGGCTTCTGTGGCCATTAGCCTTACTTCACTTTTCGAATTGGCATATTTTGACGGTTATAGCCTATTCAATATACCGATGTTTCTCATAAAATTGATTGTGTTTACACATTCATCTCTTCCTTTCAGGTTGTCTTCCCAATTCCTTTTAATATTAAAGGTAACGCGTTGTGCGTCGTATTATGTGCAATCACATAGTATATGCTCCGCCGACAAGGCAACGTCGCATGTCTCACATTCGGGAGCGTTCTCACCCATCAGCAAGAAACTATGCGTAAGGGCGGTGTGCCCTATCCGCAATCTGTATAGTTTCGTTAGAGCGTATCTTCCCAACTTTACATGCAGTAATGGTCCTGGGTTTGGTTTAATCTTCTTCAGTTTCCTTTCTGCCTCTGTTCACATTCCCTCCCACTTGTTTTTCACTTGACCCCCAGCAATCAACCGCCGCGATTTTTTGGTCGAGTCCGTGAAATCTACCACATCTAAATCGAATTCTTCCAGAACTTCTTTCGATCGCATGCCCAGAGATCTACAGTTATTCAATCGCGCAGTTCCTGATTGATTCACGAGTATTCGGTGGTTCGGGTGGTTGTCGTTTAACAACACATTTAAATAATACAGCGCGGAGATTTGCTTTCTACGCAGGGACAGCGGAAGAACGTTTGCCTCGACGTGAAGGGCGTCGATCGGACTCGTCGGAAAGGCTCGAGTTGTCCTAGCAAAGTGTTGTTACAGGTGGAGTAGACGTTACATCCGTAGTCTAGTTTCGAAAGTATCAGTGCCTTATATGTATATATGGATAAGTGTCTTGGGATCAGCTCTCCACCTGTGATGGGCGAGTACCCTCATGATATTTAAGAGTTTTCGACATGATGTTAATAGGCTTTCAACGTGACTAGTCCACCTAAGCTCACTGTCAAAAACCAGGCCTAAAAATTTAATTTCCTGAGACACTTCAATGATTCGGCCGTTCATGAACAGTACGGGATCATAGTGCGGCCTACGGAGCCGGCAAAAATGCAGTGCCTTCGTCTTCTCTTCCGAGAGCACGAATCCAACTTCGCTCGCGTTTCTATATATACGCTCAATGGCGACCTGAAGTTTTCGCGTCGCACCACCGACCGTCTCGTTCGGACAACTTATCATGAGATCGTCGACGTAAAGGCGTTTGTCGATATCTCTCGTAACTCCTGGGGCAATCTCGTTTATCGCTATAGCGAAAAGTGAGCAGCTCAACGTGGAACCCTGCGGGACACCGTTCTCCAGCACGCGGTCTCCAGAATGGACATCACCAATCCTGACGGCAAATGTTCGTCTCTCGAGGAACGATTGTACAAAGTTGGGTAAGTTTCCGCGTAGATTGTAGTTGTACATTTTTTCTACAATGCCTTGTCTCCACGTCATGTCATATGCTCCTCTAATGTCGAAAAATACCGCCACAAGGTGTTTGCGCTGGTCTAGTGCCCGCAGGATTTCATCGCCGAGCCCGACAAGATGGTCGATCGTCGATCGCCCTCTACGGAACCCGGCCTGATACGGTGTACCAGTACTCCACTACTCTCCAAAAACGATTGGAGACGCACATTCACTAGTTTTTCTAGTAACTTTCCCAGGCAGGAAGTTAAGTTGATTGGGCGATAGTGCTTTGGGAGTAGAGGGTCCTTCCCCGGTTTCGGTATCGGGACTATGATGGCTTTCTTCCATTCTCGGGGGTAAGTATGTTTTTGCCAGCAAACGTTAAAATATTTTAAAATACTCTTTTTCAGGTCATCAGTACAATGGCGAAGCATCTCGTTATGTACGCCGTCAAGACTCGGTGCACAAGACTTTGTGCTCCGAATGGCGATTTCTAGTTCCTCTGTAGTAAATGGATCGTTGTACCTACTCCAGATGCTCATCGGTGTCGAAGTCGATCACTCTGGATTCTCTATTTTCTTTTGTTTCGAGAAATGATTCAGAGTAGTTTGCCGAGCTACTGACTCGGTGGAAATAGTCGGCAAGGATCTCGGCTATTTCTTGTGGATTGTTCACTATCGTGTCGTCTGGACCGCGCAGGAATTTTGGATGTCTGGTCTGAGGTCTGCCGGATATTGCTCTGATCTTCCCCCATACCTCGCTTGATGTGACATCTGGCGAGATACTGGACACGTAACGTTGCCAAGATGTTCTTTGGGCGTCCAGAATCAGCCGTCGACACTCCGCTCTTCTCCTTTTAAACTCGACCAAATTTTCATTCGTAGGATGTCGTTTGAATTGCATTAGGGCCTGTTTTTTTATATTGATTTTTTGTTTTATTACAGGCGACCACCACGGAACTACACGGGTAACTATTATTTGAGTTTGCAATTATTTCCGTTTCAAGCTGTGAGCATGCATACATGGCATTTTATTCCATGAGGATAATGGTGTTGAATTACCATAATTAAGAAGACATTCCAACTTAGAACCACCCACATTAGGCCAATCTAAAACACCAGCAACCACCCAATTCTTGGGCACTACACTGAGGACATATTTTCCTTGTTCACGAGTTTGCACAACACTCCAACTCGCCTTATATGACATCTAAACTGTTTGAGAGTGTAGTAATTCCCAGAATAATTAAGTAATAATTAATTTTATTTTTATAAATGAATTAACGCGTATCTGTTAACAGCTTTCTGAATACCACAGATCACAGATGGATTACTTCATAATTCTAAGACATACCCACTAAAACCACTCCTGGGCCTCGTGTTTCTCGAATAGGGACTGTTTAGCACTTGCTTCTATCCGAGGTGGCCCTCTAGTTATCTTTCTCCCTTTCTTCCTCTTCCTTCTTTGTTATCACCGTCTCCACATATTTTCTAAATGTCCTCCAGGTATTGTGACTTTCGAGTACCTTCGCTACTATATTGTCGGGTGTGATTTTCCCCACGTCTTTACATAACTCATCTCTCTGCTCCTTCCACTTTGCGCATGTGAAGAAGGTGTGCTCTGGATCGTCTTGTACTTCGCAGTACTTGCAATTGGGATTGTCCCTTTTCTTTATCCTATGTAGATAGGAGCCGAAGCACCCGTGCCCCGTTAAGAATTGGCTTATGTAGTAATTCGATTCGCTTCTTTTATTATACACCCATGTCTCCACCTGTGGTATAAGGCGCCTCGTCCATTTGGCTTTCTGTGTGCTGTTCCATTGCTCTTGCCAAGCTTCTACTAATTCGCGGTTTGCGTTCTCCATGCTATCCTCCCCCTTCTCCTCCATCTGTCTCTTCCTTTTTTTGGCGAGAAGCTCCATAGGTTCCATTTTGCTAATGACACTCAATGCTTCCGCCGATACCGTTCTATAGGTTGCTACGATTTTACTGTTTATTTGCCTCTGTGTGGACTTTATTATTAGGCTATACTTCTTTATCTCCATGGCCCTTAGCCAAATTGGGGCCCCATACATAACAATAGATTGTGCCGCCAGTGCAATTACCCTCCTTTTAGCGTGGGTCGGTCCCCCGATTCTGGGCATTAGTCTGCTTAGATCCCCCATCAGCTTTAGGGCCTTGTTTGTTGCCGCTATCACGTGCTTTCCCATTAGCAACCCCTTATCAATTATCATACCTAGATATTTGATTTCCGTCTTTATCGGTATACTAATCGTCTCATGCGCAATTTGTACCCCTTTTAGAGGTAAATGTCTGTTTAGGACTGCCGCCTCCGTTTTTTCTGGCGCTAATTTTAGGCCACTCTTCCTTATCCAGTCATCCACCGCATTCAGCGTTACTCCGATTTTGGTGTTGAGGCTTGTCACGTTCTCCGCCGCTGCCCATATCGCGACGTCGTCGGCGTAACAGATTAGTTTAACCCCTCTGGGCAGCATTACCTTCATCAAGCCATCGTATAGCAGGTTCCACAGGTCCGGCCCGAGCACCGATCCCTGTGGTACCCCTGCATATACCGCCCTTCTTAGCCCCTTCGTTATCAGTATCGCCCTTTCTCTTAGATAGTCTTCACTTCAACGACATTTTGTAGGTACTTGTCTATCTTCCAGCTAGCTAGGCTTTCGATGATCTTTCCCCATGGTGCCGTATTGAAGGCGTTTTGTACGTCAATCAGTACTACTGCTCCATATTTGGATTTATTTTTCCCCGTTTTCCTGGCCTCCTCGATAAGGTCCCTGATGGCTGTCATAGTTGACCTTCCTGCTCGGAAACCGTGTTGGTTTTCGCTTAGACCGCCTTTGTTTTTTATATTGTCGACCAGTCTATTCCTCAATATCGTTTCGTACACCTTCCCCATTATATCGAGCAGGCATATAGGGCGATATTTTATCTCGATGTCCGTGGTCTTCCGGGGTTTTGGAATCAACACTAGTTTCGCCGTCTTCCAGCACTCAGGGAATCGTCCTCCTGCTCCTCTCCTTCAGTCCCTTCGTGGACGAAGAGCCTCTCAAATTCGCCCTGTTTCTGGTCGGCCGTGAGCTCGACCCTGGGGTCCGGCATCTTAAGAGCCCGTGCGACTATCCTGTATGCTTGCCCGAATGGGTCATTGCTTAGTTCACTACACAGGTCTCTCCACTTCGCTCTTTTCTCCTGCGCTATCTCCGCCCTTAGTTTCCTCCGTGCCTCTCTGTAGATGGACTCCAGTTCAGGTTGACTCTGTCCACTTTTTCTGCTTCTCAGCAGCTTCCTTCTCTTCCTGTTTGCCTCGGATTTTGTTTCCTCAACCCTTTCCGTCCACCAGTATGGCCTACCCATTCCGATTTCGTCCCTCTGCTTCCGGATCGCTTTCTTCTGTACCGTTGCCAAGATTTTAGTTATTTCTTCCGGTTCGCTAGGTCTCCCCTCCTGGTGCCAGCGCGTCTCCATCGCGTTCCCGATTTTAACGCGGTCTAGTGCGATGTTCATTTCCCAGCCTCTTTTGGTTTCTACCTCCGTGTTTTCTATCTTGTAGTAGATCAACTCGTGATCGCTCAGAGTTTCCTCTTCGGTCACCTCCCATTCGCTAAGCTTCTTTGCGACGCCTGCCGTTGCTATTGTTAAGTCTATGTAGGAGCAGCCGTTGTGCCTAATACACGTGGGGCGTTTCCCGTCGTTCATGATCGTCATGCCCAGTTGGTGTGCCCACTCCGCCAGCTTCACTCCTCTTTCGTCGTTTGTTTGTCCTCCCCACATTGGATTTTTTGCATTGAAGTCACCCCCTATGATGACTTCTGTCTTCTTGCGTATATTTCTCGCTATCTCGTCCAGAGTATCCTCAAATTCCTCCATAGTGGAGTTGGGACTTATGTACGCGCTTACGACCGTGGTCTGTCCGACTTGTACCATCGCGTGGTTATGTCCGCTGGTGAAGTTCCAGACAACACTTCCGCCCTTCACGTTCACAATAGACGCGTTCCTTTCTTTGCTCGCGTAAACATGTCTCCCTCGGTGCTTCTTGTTTGGTTCAGCCAAGATAATTAGCTTTGCTTCGCGGCTTTCCGCAGCCGCATACGCCAGATCGGTGGCGCGTGCACTATTGTTCACATTCACTTGCACTATTCTTAGTTCCCCCTTGTCCTTAGTTACGTTGCGCCCCGTGGCTTTGTCCATGTTAAGTCACTGATAGTCTATGCCTTGTCCTTATAACTAACCTATACCTATACTATTCTACTAATTTACAAGTCTTTATGTCTTTTTTACTTCGCTTTGTCCTTCTTTGCTCATTTGACACTCACGCGCGATATGACCCGTTTTACCGCACTTGTAGCACACGTCCTTCTTACTTCCTCCTACCGGTTTATGCTTACAATCCTTGTCGTTTGGTCTGTGGCCCTTTCCCGAGCCCTGCTCCACGTTTTCGCATAATGCGCAGTTCGGGCTATCCCCGCACTCTCTGGCCTTATGTCCCTCCTTGCCGCAATTGTGGCACAGGCTACTGCGGTCTGTGCCCTTGCACTGTGAGCCTATATGTCCTGCCTCCCAGCATCTAAAGCATTTATCTATCTTTTTCTCGCTTTCTCTCACCCGGCAGCTAGTGAGGGCCACCCTCAATCGGCCTTCTTCTATTAGTTTTTCCGCTATTTTCTTTTCCAGCGCTACTTTCGCGTATTGTCGTTCCCCACTCACTTTTGTGATTCTCAGAACTTTTGGCATCGCCCCGGGGTGGGCTTTTTTAACCGCCTCTATCACCTCCTCTCCTGTTGTGTCCCTCCTTGCCGCAATTGTGGCACAGGCTACTGCGGTCTGTGCCCTTGCACTGTGAGCCTATATGTCTTGCCTCCCAGCATCTAAAGCATTTATCTATCTTTTTCTCGCTTTCTCTCACCCGGCAGCTAGTGAGAGCCACCCTCAATCGGCCTTCTTCTATTAGTTTTTCCGCTATTTTCTTTTCCAGCGCTACTTTCGCGTATTGTCGTTCCCCACTCACTTTTGTGATTCTCAGAACTTTTGGCATCGCCCCGGGGTGGGCTTTTTTAACCGCCTCTATCACCTCCTCTCCTGTTGTGACTCCATCCAAGTCGCGTATCTCGATCACGGTTGTGTCCTGTAGTACTCTTACTTCTCTACCTTCCGTGGATTCGGCCAATCTCCTTCTAAGTAATTCCGCCTTACCTTCGCCCTTTTCTACATGGACTAGGATGTCCCCTTCTCTGGTTTGGGTGACACCTCGCACCTTCACTTCATCGTTTCCTATTTCCGTGGAACGCACCTTTTGTAGTACCTTCGCGTATTCTTCTTTACCCTGCAGTTTTATCAGCACGGCTTCCGGCCTCTCTCTTGTATTGCGCGTCGCTCCTCCCTTCTTATTTTTCCGGGTCCTTCTCTCTTCCTTCGTGCGAAATTCCTCGTCGTCTGGTCCCTCCCCGGGTGCCGTGATGACCACCTCCATTCCTTCCAAGAGGTATATTGCCGCTTTCCTTACAGCCTCTGCGTCGCCGTTGTCCAGCATGGCAATGACTACTTTCTTCCTTTTGGCTTCCCTGCATACTTCCCGTAACTCCTCTATTGCTCTGTATACGCCCTCCATTCTGTCCTCTGCGGCGGTATTTATTAGCTTGCCGTAATATTCCGCCCTGATCCATCCTTCTCCCGGCTGCCATGTACCTTGGATGCAGTACAGGTACTCTCCTTTTTTATTGATATCGCCTCTGTTTAATTTGTCTACCATTGGGAAACACGCCTTCATTTCCCTCGCCACTGGTCCTTCCATCTCTACATCATCCTCCACGTAAAAAACGATGTCCCATTCTCTGTTGAAACCTTCCGGGTTTGTGTTGCTAGTTTTGACTTTTCCCATCTCTTCGGCGGGCCACTCCTCCTCTACTATACTGAGGAACGTTTCCAGATCCCTGGTTTCCCTGCTTAGCGCCTCCGCAATTTCTTCCCGTATCTCCGCCTTTCTCCGCCCTCTTTGCCGCTTTTCCTCCGTATACTCTTTCTCCAGTTTTGCGTAGCGCGCATTCGCTTTTTCTACTTCTCTCTCTAGTTTTTTGTTGGTGTTTTCCATCTCCTGCAGTTTCTTCTTCATCTCTTCATGCCGGCCTTGCAGTTCCTCGATGCTTTCCTTCATGTTTCCAATAACCACCGATTCTTCCAGCTCTGCCTGTTTTCCAGTTAAGTTTTCTGCTCTTGCTCTGGCTCTTGTTTCTGCTTCCCTTCTGTTTTCCGTCGCTCTCACTCTGCCTTCCATTTCCCTTACTAGGTCTTTTAATGTTTTATTAACGTTTTTCCCGCCTGGGCCCGCGATGAACATGTTTATTTCATCCATTTTTTTCCTCAGTAGTACCACCTCTCTATTGCTATCCTCCTTTGATCTGTCATCCAATAAGCCTGGGCTGCTCTCAGTCTTCCTTTTTTTTTGCCATGCGTAAGGTTGTCGTTCTCTGTCATCATGTGTCGACTTTGTTTCCTCGGGTGGCGTCCTCATAAGTGACGGTCTTCTGACTATTCTGTCGTCTTCTGCTGCCTGCTGTATTATTTTATTTTTTCCTTCTTCATCAGTCGCGAACTCTCCGCCCTGTTGTCTGCTTTCACTGCCGCTCCCGGCCCGATCTACCGCCTCCTCCTCAGTTTGATTCGTTGTCGCATGATTTGTCGCCCCCCCCGTATCCCTGGGGCAGACCACCGTAGGTGGTGTGGGATTCCCGGCTCTCCGGACCCACCCGGGGAGAAAATCCTCTGGTTTTTTCTCCATCATGCTTTGGTTTAGAATGTCCTTGTCCATTGCCTGGGTCGTTTTCTTGCCTGTTGTTGTCCTGTGTTCCGTAACCTTACTCTTGTCCTTTGTCGTTGCCGGGTCTTAGCTGTCCCTTTTACGAGGGTCTTCCTTTGCCACTTTCACTCTCACTAAACTAAATGCCTCCCGTCACCGTACTAACTAACCGCACTTACTATTTACCCCCTGAGCACTGCTATATTGCTGCGCCTATTGCTATTAGAGCCCTAAGTACTGCAGTGTATCTACCTAAGCACTACGGTATTTCCAGTTCCCCTAACTTAATTTAATTTTATGCCGACACACCGTGAACTGTTTAACTATCCACACGCGCACTCGTCGCCGGCCGCTGGCACACCACTGTCCGCTTACGTCCACTTATAATCTAAATTACACACTAACTTAAACTACTATATACACCTACACTACCTATAGCGTCACGAATTATATTTTTCGGCGCACGCAGGGGTGGTTTCCACCCCCTCAAGTGGGGTGTCAAATGACACGCCTTTGCACTCTGGTCTCACTTTTATTTGTCCGCACTTAGTACTGCGCCCCCCTGCGTCGGTACGGCCCTATACACCTACACGTCCAAATTGTAAATTCACCGCGCGCAGGGGTAGTTTCCACCCCCTCGAGTGGGGTGTCAGAAGACGCGTATTTACACCCTGATCACGTTTTTCCTTGTCCGCACTTGCTACTGCAGCCCCCGGCGTTAATACGACCCTATCAGTGTTTGTTTAAAATAAACAGATAATGCTCCCGCTACCGTACGGTCGGTCCGATTTGGTTAGGACACACCTCCATCTATATTCCGTAACCTCCTCTGTAATTTGGCACTAGTCCCGTCGACGTAGCACCACCCCTTCCGCCACCGAAAAGCACGTGGCGCACCCCTAACGTCCGCGGAAGGGACCACTCCACCCCCTTGTGTGAGGTGTCAAACGACGCGTATTTACACCCTGACCGCGTTTTTCCTTGTCCGCACTTGCTACTACTATCCCCGGCGCTAATACAGCCCTATCAGTGTTTGTTTTCAATAAACAGATAATGCTCCCGCTACCGTACGCTCGGTCCGATTT